ATTATGATTTTTCATTGGTTGATCCCCTACATTAGACAATAAACATTAAATGCAGTAGAATTGCTGTGAACAAATGTGTGAGCTCTTTGAAGATGGGGCTATCGTACTTGATTTTGTATCCTCAGCACTAAGTAAAAGGCAGCCTTTGAGCAAACATATGCAACCTATCACAGAAGAGTCCCATTTACCAAAGGCAGACCTAGGAGCACATCATAAGATTAAAAAACAGATGCAGAAGTGTGTCTTTTAGGATTGGGTCCAGGTGTGCTTATAAATCTTCCCAAGAGGCTCACACGCATCATTATCTTGGTATTTTAAAAGGTCTGTTTAGATGACCTGCTGCAAATACAATGGGATGCTAAGCGAGACTTCCCTCTGTAATCTCAGAAACCATCTGTCTTGGATGGAGAAACTATTTATAGCAGAGAGGACTGATGTGGTGTCAAGACCAGGTCCCAGAGGCTTAATTCCTCTAAAGATAGCAAAAATATCTGTTGGACACACAACAAAGGGGACACGGATACTCTAATTGGGAGAGTTGGAGCAGATGTTTTAGAAGGGTCACCAGTACTCAGAACGCATTTTCCCTCTACCAGAGCGCAAGAAAGATGCATCACCTAATCCAATGTGCAAAGGCAAGTGCAGAGGTCCTTTTGATAGTGGGTCTTGATATATTCCACAAGTTCCTTTAATATGCTCTCAACTTTGTCTGCTAACTTCTGCTGGCTCGATGTAGTCCCAAGACCTGATTGGATAATGTGGCCTACAGTGTCAATTAGGCTGCATGTTCCATGCTAAAATTTGGAGGAAAAAACCAAGGAGGATCTTCATTGTGGTAAACAATGGCTTTATTTGTTAAGGCACTTTCCATCCTCTGCTGTTCAGCCTCACTCCAAAGACTTGCCTATATATTACTCGTGAGTCTAACTTACAACTTTGATGAGGTACCCGAGGTTAGAAAATAAAAGCTGTGTCCCATCTCTCATTTTTAAGTGGTGCTTATCCTTCCAAGGACAATGGAATTTACGGTCTCCAAAGGCAGAACTATATATTATGAACCACAAGATGCTCTTAAAGAATTTTTTGGGCTGCCTTCTGGACAGGAGAAGCAGAGCACAATGCTTAGCAAACAGCCTCACATCCAGGGTACAGGGTGCAGAGGTGAGTAGTACAGTGGAGGCCCTCAAGCTGGCAGCCAGCAGCACAAGCAAATGGAATATTCAAGACTGAAGGGCAGCAGGAGTACATCTTGCTCAGGTATTCTAACAACAAAGCAAAATCATATTAATAACAACAACAAAAACCAACTAACAAACTCCTTTAGCGAGGTCAGGCATGCTGATTAAACCCTTCTGCTTTCCTATGGGACATTCGTTCTGCTTTAGTTTATTTTAAGCAATGCAAGCAACCCAAACCAAACCCACTGTTGTCAAGTTGATTCCGACTCATAGCAACCCTACAGGACAGACTAGAACTGCCCCATAGGATTTCCAAGGCTGTAAATCTTTACTGAAGCAGATGGTCACATCTTCCTTCTGCGGAGCAGCTGGTGGGTTTGAACTGCCAGCCTTTTGGTTAGCAACAGAACACTTAACCACTGCACCACTAGGGCCCCTCAAGCAATGCATAGAAACCTATATTTACAAAGCACCTCCCAACTAAGAGTTTGTTGTATTGTGGTTGCTTGTGTGTTGCCATGACGTTGGAAGCTATGCCACTGGTATTTCAGATACCAACAGGGTCACCCACAGTGGACAGGTTTCAGAGGCGCTTCCGTACTAAGATTAGGAGGAAAGGCCTATTTCCGACATTGTCTGACTTGCTTGCTTTGGACCTGTCATCAATAGGGATCAATCACTAGAAGAAGATATTATGTCTGGTGAAGTAGAAGGCCAACAGGACATGAGAGACCCTCAGTGAAATGGATTGGCATAACAATGGACTTGAACATGCTGGCAATTGTGAGGATGATGCAAGCTCAAGCAACGTTTCCTTCTGTTGTACATAAGGTTGTCATGGGTCAGAGTCAACTTGATAGCTGCTAATAACAACAAATTTATAAAAAATAAATCAGAGCATTACTTTTTTTTTGTGAAAGAATTCACTAAATAATTTTCTTAAAAAGTAATTTCCCTAGTTCATTTAACATATAGCTTTATTTAGGAAAGTTTAACTTATTAAATATTTGAGAATATCTTTTTGGGTAAATGAGGAAACAGGCCCTGGGAGGGAGACATATCCAATGTTCACAGACAATCGTAGTTTCTGAATACAACCCCAATGACCTTTGCAGGACAATGATATGTACATAATTTTCTACTGTTTACAAAACCTCTGATCCTCACCACAACCCTGTGAGGCAGTATTAAAGTCTATTTTGCACATGTGGGAATTAAGGCTTGGAGAAAATACCTGTCATGTGCAATTGCTTACTATGTTCTAAGCCCAAGGCTCACACCATACACAGATCATCTCTTTGATCCTCCTAATAACACTATAAGGTATTACGATTCCCATGGATAGATCAAGAAACAGGCTCTGAGAGGTTAAGGAACTTGCCCAAGCTAGTAGATAGTAGAGATGAAATATAACTGAGAGCTGAAAGAGAGGAATGGTTGAACATTAGCTCTGAGGTCAGCCCAGGAGATATCAAGGAGGCTAGAGAAGCAAGAGAAAATCAAGAAAAGACTTTCTTGGGAAGAGGGGGCTTGGAGGGGTACAGAATCTTGATTGGGGTGGGGGCAGGGAGGGGACAGGAAGAGAGGAATTTGAGCAGAGGACCAGAGTGGAGAGGCTGGAATGCATATCGGCGTTTTCAGGAACAGTGGTCTGGTCTGGATCTGTGTCGGTGTGTGTTACCTTCTGCATACAGTAGGAGCCAGCAGGATGGGTGGCAGGCTGGCCAAAGTGTTTCTATGAGCTCCTGAAAGGCCAGATAATACAGAATAGAACAACAACAAACAACCCATTGCCATCGGGTGAATTCTGACTCTTAGTGACCCTATAGAAGGCATTATCAAAAACATTAAATAAAAAATATAGCTTTGACCAAATCACTTGAAGGAAACTCTCTAATGAAGAATTTGCTTAGTGACAAAAGCTGAATAGATAGCATTTGAAGCCAGACAACGAGAAATGTAGAAAAGTTCTGGGGCCTTAAGGAGACAAAAACCCATGGAAGGGGCTAAGAGCCAAAACTGGTTGCTGAAACCAGTTAAGTCTAGGTGTTGCCAGGTCCATCTAAGCCGATAAAAATATCATAGTGTATGCAGAAAGCCACACACAGTCGTCCCAGCAAAGGGAAAATAATTTAGGAAATAAAGTACTCAGAATTCCAGAGAAAAGCTTTAACCATACTTAAATTGAGCTGAAGAAGATAAAAATCCTTCAATAAATAAACACCAGGCTCCGAGCATATTCAGGTTCAGGTGGTCCACTAGCAAGGTAAATGCTTGAATTCTCTAGATTAGGCAGGATGCTAGGAGAGAGAGGGACCATGACCAGGAAACATGTAAAAGGCATTAAGACCAGGTTTCTGTAGCATACGCTGTTCTTGAGTTTCCTGGTACTTTAGGGGACTAACATTTATTACAGAAAAATAGAATAGAATCTGCCTACCCCACAACAGTTCTAAGACAGAAACATTATATACCTGCCAAAAATAGGGGAAAAAAAACCCTTCTATTTTATCTGTAAGTCTGGTATGTGCAATTTATTGCCTTACTAGATAAAATGGGCAAAAGAAATATCAAAATATTCATTTAAAAATATATTAAGAAGAGTGAGTGTCTCTGGAGAGAGGCACTGGTTGGGGGAAAATGGGGTTAGGGCATAGGAGTAAAAGGGAGATTTTTTATTTTGTACTTTTTTGAATCAGTTTAAGGAGCCCTGGTGATGCAGTAGTTAAGAGCTCGGCTGCTAACTGAGAAGTCAGCAATTCGAAC